TTCTAAAACTTGAAGTTTTATAACACGAAAGTCTTGTCGAAAGTAAAGCAAATAAGTTGACTACAAATTCCTAATAATTCATTTTAAAATAAATTAATTTATTAAAAACTAGATTTTGTTGTCAATTTCTAGTTATTGAACAAATTGATGACTTTGAAAGAGTACTTAATTTTGGTTTTGATTAAGTGTTGATTCAGTGGTGATTGAGTACTAACTTACTGCCCATTGAATGACAATTTGTGGCCTAAAATTATTGTTAATTCATGCATAACATTGAATTTTTTGACTATAAAATTGATTATAAAGATTAAATTAAAAATAAAACATATATTTAACATAATATTTTCTATATTTCTTATAGAGACCCTGGCTATATAATAAATGTTAAGCAATACTGACTAAATTGAAATTGCTAATTAATAAGCCGCATCTCATATGTCATAATATTTTGACTTATTGGTGATAACAAGTGACAGAATATTTAATGTAATGATTATTAATAAATTTTGTGATCATTTGCTGAACCGGTGTTTCATATTATTCATGAATTTCAGGTCGACTTCAATGGTATTCACATAAAAGTACCGGAATTTGAGTGCATTTCTTGAGAAATACAGTTTGTTGCAAAATATTGTGCAAAAAAAACTTTGAAAGGAAATTAGAGAAAAACCGGATTTAATGGTGTTATGTGTTATCAATTGAATGGTTTGGCGCATGACTTCTTCAGACAATTCATTTAAACGATTGGATTTGAAAACAAACTTTGAGTGAAACGCACAAACATTTCTGACATTTAAAACACACTTTTCATCGCAATTATTGTCAATTCATTGAACCAATTGATGCCTAAATTGAGTGTTTCATAAGTTTTGACACAAAAATGTTTGGCTTCTTAAGGAAAACAACTGTGAGTTGAATGGAGAATAGAGACACACATTGAATGCCATTGAATACGGAATATATTGACAATTAATTTCTTGTGGTATTAGATCTGCAACCGGGGTATGAAGTTGTATGAGCCGGATGTGGTCACCCAGAGGGCAACCCTCGCACTCTCGTGATTCTGGTTCCCAGAGGCACAGTTCGGATGCGCACCGGGAGGTATGTGTCCACCCATTCAATCAATTAATACTCCGTTTATATATAGTATGTATCTGTTTGCGAAGTGATCCGGACTCGAGTGGGCTATACGGGTGGCACGACACCGAACCCCACTTACCACAAGTTAGGCGATCACACGGAGACCATTGACATCCAATACGACCCCAATATCACCACTTATGAGGTATGAAATTGGCTCACAATTTGGCCATCAATTTGGTCTCATTTCACGTGTTTTTGGTGCAGAAAATTCTGGGCATGTTTTGGGACAACCATTCGCCGACCCAATGCCACAAAAGGCAATATATGTCCGCTATTTTCTACCACAACCCACACCAGAAGCAATTGGCCGAAGAGTCGATGAAAGAGATGCAGAAGAAGTACGCGAAACCAATTCAGACACTGATATTGCCGTCCGAAGTGTTTTATGAGGCGGAGGACTATCACCAGAAGTTTATGTTAAGGAAACACCAGAATCTGGTCAATAGTCTGGGTTTGAGTGACAAGCAGTTGATTGGTTCGCATATCGCGGGCAGACTTAATGGCTATTTGGGACACTTCGGCACTTTCGAGGCCTTCAACAAAGAGGTGGACAATTGGGGCATCACTTCCCACCAGAAGGACTACGTATTGGAACAAATGAAGTCTTCGGATTTCGGTCACTGTTAGGCCTTCCGTGTTATGGATCTGTGCGTAGATTTAGTGATAATTAAGTGATACAATGGATAACTAAATGATAATATGATTGCCATTAATGAAAATATTGTAATTAATGAGATGATGACATCATTTGTTATTCAATTGTTGTTAAATCTATAATAAAACTTATGATAATCGATAAAATGATAAATAAATGCATTTTTTGCAATTAAAATATAATTTATATTTGAACTTAATTTTTAAACTCAAATTCATAACTAAAATGCATTCAAAACTGGCGCTCAATATATTGAACACAAAATAAGCGCTCATTTGTCACACAAATAGTCAACAAACGGTTCATTCAAACGATGAGTTTGTCATCACTTCATATGCCATCCAAACCATGATTTGATCCCTCGTTGCAACGCCTCTTGTGTCCATCCGTTTACCACAAACGATGTCCGCACGAAGACAGCACTTGCCATCGATTATCGACTCAATACGGGTGAGTATCGCACGACTTGATTCATGGCTTCACTCATATATCTGACACTAATCTCCATTATCTTCTTCCTGTGTCTCAGGCCAGTGGCGATGGTCTGCGAGCCGGCGATCGATCGCTCATCTGTTCGGCCCTCAGACGGGAGTACGTGTTGATGGATCTGTTGCCCAACCAGTCCTTCATGAGCCACATATTCATCGGTTTTACACAAAACGGTCAACACTTCCTCAGCTATTCCAAGAGCGAAGAGTCCAATCAGATTCGTCTTCACATCTTCCGGTTCAACGGCGACCGCCCGCTGGAGCTGACGGCCAGTCACGTGATACACACCGGCAACTCGTTTCACTCGACCGACTCGTTCGCCGACTCTTCCCGACTCTTTGAGGCCGTCTATTGCTATCAGTGGTCGGCGGACGACAACTACATCTTGACGGTCGTGGCGCCACAGTATCCCAACTCGAAGCTCATGGACGTGACGCTCATCCGCGTGGACCGGTTCGGGTCGTATGTCGTGACGCCGGGGCCCCAGACCTTCAACTGCAACGGCTTCGGACGCATTCCCGACTTCTGTGATGACGGCGACGAGTCGGTCGCCGACGACGAGCTCTTGTGTCAGCCGAAGATCATCTTAAGTCAGCCAAAGGTGTGTTCGTTCATCACTGACAGCGAAATCGTGTTCTTGGAGATCAAGGAGGCGGCAAACCAGAGGACGGGCCTTCTGGACGTCCGACTCGAGTGCCAACTGCTGGACGTCGAGTCACACATATTCGGCGACGTCTTCAACAAACACTTGACTAATCTTTTCAATTATGTCTCGGAGTACGAGCTCTTAGTGTACGACATAAAGTCGGATC